GGTAATGGAGAAAGTCAAGACAGAAAGCAGTCACTAAAGTTGCAAGAGACCACAATCAAACAACAACAACAACAAGACTCCAGGTATGGTAATTATTTTCGCACAATAATTATCAAAAGAGCCACCATTTTGAACACATTTCAGCCCAAGTTAATGACAAGCTGAATTCACAATGACAAACATATATTATTCATTTCTAATCTTCTACGGTCTTAGCAAAATAGTGATCCATTATTCACAGTTCAGAAATGGATATAAGGTGTCCTAAGATAACAAGACTAACCCTCCACTCTTAAGGTTCTGATGTTGAGAATATCTAATTTTTACAGCTATCAATAAATCACACTTCATAGAAGATTCTTTCTTCAAATGCTCTGCCAAAGAAATACTACAACCCACATTTTTTGAAGTACTAGAGCGTCGAATCATAATTCAATATCCAATCCCACCAATATGAAGTATCTCTCTTACTCATTTTCACCAATACCTATTTCTTGGTTGGTTTCTCTTACATGGATGTATACTTCAACATACTTATAAATTGTTAATTATTACGAGTTAGTTAAAAATGAAACACTATTGATCTAATAATTCAAGCAACTTGGTCTCATCACCAAAAAATAGATTAAAAAAGACATGAAATTTATAAATGACAAACAGAAAGCAAAACCAAATTTGCAGTATATCTTAGAATTCAAATAAATGTTGGGCAGAAACTAGCCACGCAAGCTGATATCACCATTGGCATTATTACCCATCAAAACAAACAAAAATGTTCCATTTATAGTATCATTTGAATGTAACTGCATACCATGACATCAAATTGCTCAGGCTTGGATACAAGCTGCATGCAGCAATTGTCCACAATAACTTCGTTGTACTTGATCCCAGGATATTTTGTGGCAACTTCTCGACAAGATTCCAAGAATAGACCATCAGCAAGCTTCATAATGTTTGCTTTATGCACGGCAGTCACCTTCTTTCTGTTGTTCAGGTATGCATACTCAAAAGCGTACTTTGCAATACGCTCCGAACAAAACTTTGTTATCACCTAGCAAAAAGGGTAGTATGAGATACAAACAAAATCACGGTCTATGCACCACTAACAAGAGAAATCAAGGAATTGGCAGTAAATAAACCAAAGAACAATGTTTACATTTACCAACCAACAATTTTTTGCTAAAAACTCTACTTTCTAAAAATTTACTTGAAGATATCACACGACACAGGTCATATTCTATTTAAGGCACTTCTAACAATACCAAAAGTACTTCCACAGGTCCCATTATTTATGTTTGTTCAAAACAGGCAAACCAAACTAATGTTAACCATTTTGGTAACCACCATCATCTTAATGATACGAAATGAGAAATCCTTAAATGGGACAAGCATGCCACATTATCCAAAATTCGTACACTCATCTACTAAAAGGAAAAAACTTATACATGGAACAAGCATATCACATCATTCATATGTCCATTTAATGAAAACATGTCACATTCACTTAAATATATTAATTTCCTTTCATCAATAACCACTACCACGATGTGTGATTTTAGAAACTAACACCTAACAACGTGTTGCATCCGTCCCATCTAAAACTTTCGATTATGTTATAGAGGAACAAGAAAATATAAAGCAAATGTGGTAGACTGTTTCTAAAGGGACATATGAGTGACTTGATATGCCAGTACCACCTAAAGTTTTTTCGAAAGGTAATATTACTAACATTCAGCTAAAAGCAATATAGTAAACATAACTATTTCAATAAAAATAATATCTAGACCAATACACTTGTATCTTGTTGCCTCAGTTCCATGTAAGACTTTCTCTTAATTATGTAAAGAAAATATAAAGCATAAGCGATATATTTTCCGAACTGGCATACGAATGAATGACTTCATACGCCGGTCCCGCCAAGTTTTTTCGAAATGCAATATCAATGACAGTACACGCAACACTAGTAACATTCAGCTAATAGCAATATTGTAAACATAATCATTTCAATAACCTAAATTTCTGAACCAATCACCTAATTTGATAAACAGACAATGAAATAAACAGAGCTTAACAATATATACCTTAAGGCTTTCAACAACTCCAGGAACCACCTCGTGTTCGAGACCGGCGTACTCACCCTCAGTATTCTCTCTAATTACGACAATATCCACGTTCTCATGGCGCGTAGGCAATCCCGGCAAATTAAAACAATTAACCAAGGACGCGTACAAATCCAACTCCTTTCTTAACTGCACGTTCAACGAACTCACACCACCGCCCATGGGCGTTGCCAAACCTCCCTTCAAACAAACCTTGTTCTTCTTAATCGAATCCATCACTTCTTCCGGAACTTTCTTCATGTCCCCGTGCACTTCATACTTTTCAAAGTACACCGGCGCGTGCATCGCTTCCATTACTTGCTCGACGGCGCCGGTTACCAGTGGACCGATCCCGTCTCCTGGAACTAGAGTTACCGGGCGTGGAGCGCCGTCGCCGGGTCGCGGCATGTAGGTTACGGATCGAGTCGAGATGAGCGATCCGGAACATTGGTTTGTGGATTTCTTAAGGAGTTCTTTGAGGGCCGGTAAGGAACACCGAGCCATCGGGTCGGGTTACAAGGTTTTGGATTGACGAATATGAAAAGTGAGAGGCGCTTGCGTTGTGCGTTTACGCGATCAGAGCGGCAGCCATGAAAGAGCTGGTAGAAGAGAAAAGAACGAATAATTGTGTGAGTGGTGATTGAGTGCGGTCGGCATCATGGAAAGGGTTTTGACTAGTGGAACTGAAACGCGGCGTTTCGATTTTATTCTAGAAAAAATTTTATATACCTCCCTTGGTTCTGCATGAATAGCTATAGTCCCCATAATTTTTAAAATCATTACCAAATAACCTGATTTAATTGTTAAATTAAACATACTACAATCGTGAATTACTATTGAATTCAAGTAAAGCAGACATAATCAAAATTATATTTAGCTAATAATCACTTACAACTGGTATTGAAGTTGATACAAAAGCAAACCCGTTAAAGAAAATGAAAGCAAATTTGCAGTAAAGTCATATGATTTAACATAGACTATCAGCATAATCTAACATGCTTTAATTAACTGTCAAACTATAATATTAAATGTTAGACTATTGAGTCTCACATTATATATTAATAATATAACATTTATTATTTTATTAAGGGTATAATTGTTAAATCCTTGAATTTTAAGACTAGATTTATACTTTAAATAAAACCAACACATTTTAAAGATTATAATTATTGAGTTATTTATATATGTCCAAACCCCTAAATTAATTAGTTCATATATATGATATTCATGTCATATTATATCTTCAAATTATGATCAATCAATTTATTGGATTTAAGTAAAAAAACTTGGAAGTTCTTTTAATATTCAATAATATTTTACTTATAACTGAGTCATAAAAACAGATAAAAATTATATAAAATTTATGTAAAATGATTACTCTATCTTTTATTTTTTTATCTATTTGTATGATACAATTGTAAATATAACATTGCTTTTTAACATTAGTAATATAACATTTATTATTTGTATAATTCGCAAGTTATTGAATTTTAAGGTTGAATTTGTACTTTAAATTCCAGCCTCAAACATTGCGGATTCCTGGATCATTTTTAAAATTATAGGGATCTTAAAAGTTATGATGTAATTATATGTCTGCGTTCTTTAGCCGTCAACGCGGCGCCGGAACAGTAATCAGACACGTGTAAATTTTTATTGGGTAGAAAAGTCAATGATAGCTCTAAACAGTTTTGAGTAATCATTGACTTCAAACTACTATTCCATTTCAAATTTTTAAATTTTTTTTTTTAAAAAATATTTTTTTTATTAATGTATTAATACAATTTTTTAATATAATAAACCTTGAAAATAAATATCGTGGTAATACAATTTAATTTTTTTTAACTATAATTTTAACTGTCCAATATAGATTCTTTGATTTATTATTCAATAAATTTTAAATTTGATTTTTTTAATTACTAATAAAAATAATAGTTAAATAAAGTTATCTAATTGTTAACTTTATTCAACTGTGTGTATTGTGATAAGATCGAGTTTGTCGTATATATTTGCACATGAGATTTGTTGGCAGACAACAACTGAAAAGGAAAACAATTTATACATTAACAAAAAAGCAAAAAAACAAAAAAAAATGGGTGCATGATTTTAGGAACAAATGATTCGATGAAGAAATTTTATAAAATAAGTGAGAATGTCCCTGGCCGTTTAATTGGCCATATTCAATTGGATCTGTCTTCACTCTTTTTACATAATAAAACAAATGCTCTTCAACTTTATACTTAATATTTATATATCTTAAAAAGCATATGTTAAAAAAAATATTATTATTATCAATTTAATAAAACTAATCTTTACTTATGAAACTGTTTTTGTTCATTTACTACTTTAATTATTTCTGTTTAAATATTCTAAAAATGAACCTTCTGTAAATATTGGTTAATGGTTGCAGCATGTTGGCAAATTGCACTAACTGTTTTTCTGTCAATTTTTTTTTTTACATTTATATAAATAATGGATATAGATATTATTATTTGTAGGCCTGGATCCACTTATATTTTTTTAAATGGTAATAAATTTATTAATTTTCTTTAAATGACAGGATATTGTTGATTCCTTTCCATATTTATAAAGTAATCTTGATCTGGCTACATATCCAAAATTAGCTAAACTAGGTTAAGAAATTAATATCACAAACATAATATTGTATTAATTCTTTAAAAATATTCTCAACAAGAGTTAGTTTAATTTCCTTTAAAGCTCTAAAAATAACAAGTTACCCCCTTTAGGTATTTTAAATAACAAATTACTGCATTTTGTCAGTGTTCCATTAAATATAAGAGTAAAAATTTTGGAAGTAATTAATTATTTTTTTAGCTGCATCCCGGAACTTTCTCATGTCCCCGGGCACTTCATACTTTCAAAGTACACCGCGCGTGCATCGCTTCATTCTGCTCGACGGCGCCGGTTACCACTCTTACCTCCTGGCATGACTCCTGTACCACCAGCAATACCAGCTGCTGTATTTGCGACTAGGTTGCCATAAAGATTGGGAGTCACCTGAAAATTTGGAGATCCAATGCATCAGCTGTAGAATTGACCATTGAAATAGGAGGTAATGGAGAAAGTCAAGACAGAAAGCAGTCACTAAAGTTGCAAGAGACCACAATCAAACAACAACAACAACAAGACTCCAGGTATGGTAATTATTTTCGCACAATAATTATCAAAAGAGCCACCATTTTGAACACATTTCAGCCCAAGTTAATGACAAGCTGAATTCACAATGACAAACATATATTATTCATTTCTAATCTTCTACGGTCTTAGCAAAATAGTGATCCATTATTCACAGTTCAGAAATGGATATAAGGTGTCCTAAGATAACAAGACTAACCCTCCACTCTTAAGGTTCTGATGTTGAGAATATCTAATTTTTACAGCTATCAATAAATCACACTTCATAGAAGATTCTTTCTTCAAATGCTCTGCCAAAGAAATACTACAACCCACATTTTTTGAAGTACTAGAGCGTCGAATCATAATTCAATATCCAATCCCACCAATATGAAGTATCTCTCTTACTCATTTTCACCAATACCTATTTCTTGGTTGGTTTCTCTTACATGGATGTATACTTCAACATACTTATAAATTGTTAATTATTACGAGTTAGTTAAAAATGAAACACTATTGATCTAATAATTCAAGCAACTTGGTCTCATCACCAAAAAATAGATTAAAAAAGACATGAAATTTATAAATGACAAACAGAAAGCAAAACCAAATTTGCAGTATATCTTAGAATTCAAATAAATGTTGGGCAGAAACTAGCCACGCAAGCTGATATCACCATTGGCATTATTACCCATCAAAACAAACAAAAATGTTCCATTTATAGTATCATTTGAATGTAACTGCATACCATGACATCAAATTGCTCAGGCTTGGATACAAGCTGCATGCAGCAATTGTCCACAATAACTTCGTTGTACTTGATCCCAGGATATTTTGTGGCAACTTCTCGACAAGATTCCAAGAATAGACCATCAGCAAGCTTCATAATGTTTGCTTTATGCACGGCAGTCACCTTCTTTCTGTTGTTCAGGTATGCATACTCAAAAGCGTACTTTGCAATACGCTCCGAACAAAACTTTGTTATCACCTAGCAAAAAGGGTAGTATGAGATACAAACAAAATCACGGTCTATGCACCACTAACAAGAGAAATCAAGGAATTGGCAGTAAATAAACCAAAGAACAATGTTTACATTTACCAACCAACAATTTTTTGCTAAAAACTCTACTTTCTAAAAATTTACTTGAAGATATCACACGACACAGGTCATATTCTATTTAAGGCACTTCTAACAATACCAAAAGTACTTCCACAGGTCCCATTATTTATGTTTGTTCAAAACAGGCAAACCAAACTAATGTTAACCATTTTGGTAACCACCATCATCTTAATGATACGAAATGAGAAATCCTTAAATGGGACAAGCATGCCACATTATCCAAAATTCGTACACTCATCTACTAAAAGGAAAAAACTTATACATGGAACAAGCATATCACATCATTCATATGTCCATTTAATGAAAACATGTCACATTCACTTAAATATATTAATTTCCTTTCATCAATAACCACTACCACGATGTGTGATTTTAGAAACTAACACCTAACAACGTGTTGCATCCGTCCCATCTAAAACTTTCGATTATGTTATAGAGGAACAAGAAAATATAAAGCAAATGTGGTAGACTGTTTCTAAAGGGACATATGAGTGACTTGATATGCCAGTACCACCTAAAGTTTTTTCGAAAGGTAATATTACTAACATTCAGCTAAAAGCAATATAGTAAACATAACTATTTCAATAAAAATAATATCTAGACCAATACACTTGTATCTTGTTGCCTCAGTTCCATGTAAGACTTTCTCTTAATTATGTAAAGAAAATATAAAGCATAAGCGATATATTTTCCGAACTGGCATACGAATGAATGACTTCATACGCCGGTCCCGCCAAGTTTTTTCGAAATGCAATATCAATGACAGTACACGCAACACTAGTAACATTCAGCTAATAGCAATATTGTAAACATAATCATTTCAATAACCTAAATTTCTGAACCAATCACCTAATTTGATAAACAGACAATGAAATAAACAGAGCTTAACAATATATACCTTAAGGCTTTCAACAACTCCAGGAACCACCTCGTGTTCGAGACCGGCGTACTCACCCTCAGTATTCTCTCTAATTACGACAATATCCACGTTCTCATGGCGCGTAGGCAATCCCGGCAAATTAAAACAATTAACCAAGGACGCGTACAAATCCAACTCCTTTCTTAACTGCACGTTCAACGAACTCACACCACCGCCCATGGGCGTTGCCAAACCTCCCTTCAAACAAACCTTGTTCTTCTTAATCGAATCCATCACTTCTTCCGGAACTTTCTTCATGTCCCCGTGCACTTCATACTTTTCAAAGTACACCGGCGCGTGCATCGCTTCCATTACTTGCTCGACGGCGCCGGTTACCAGTGGACCGATCCCGTCTCCTGGAACTAGAGTTACCGGGCGTGGAGCGCCGTCGCCGGGTCGCGGCATGTAGGTTACGGATCGAGTCGAGATGAGCGATCCGGAACATTGGTTTGTGGATTTCTTAAGGAGTTCTTTGAGGGCCGGTAAGGAACACCGAGCCATCGGGTCGGGTTACAAGGTTTTGGATTGACGAATATGAAAAGTGAGAGGCGCTTGCGTTGTGCGTTTACGCGATCAGAGCGGCAGCCATGAAAGAGCTGGTAGAAGAGAAAAGAACGAATAATTGTGTGAGTGGTGATTGAGTGCGGTCGGCATCATGGAAAGGGTTTTGACTAGTGGAACTGAAACGCGGCGTTTCGATTTTATTCTAGAAAAAATTTTATATACCTCCCTTGGTTCTGCATGAATAGCTATAGTCCCCATAATTTTTAAAATCATTACCAAATAACCTGATTTAATTGTTAAATTAAACATACTACAATCGTGAATTACTATTGAATTCAAGTAAAGCAGACATAATCAAAATTATATTTAGCTAATAATCACTTACAACTGGTATTGAAGTTGACAAAAAAGCAAACCCGTTAAAGAAAATGAAAGCAAATTTGCTATAAAATCATATGATTTAACCTAGACTATCAAGTCTAATATAATCTAACATGTTTTAATTAACTGTCAAACTATAATATTAAATATTAGACTATTGAGTCTCACGTTATATATTAATAATATAACATTTATTATTTTATTAAGGGTATAATTGATAAATCCTTGAATTTTAAGACTAGATTTGTACTTTAAATAAAACCAACACATTTTAAAAATTATAATTATTGAGTTGTTTATATATGCCCAAACCCCTAAATTAATTGGTTCATATTATATGGTATTCATGTCATATTATATCTTCAAAATATGACCTATCAATTTATTGGGTTTAAGTAAGAAAACTTGAATTTTTTTTAACATTCAATAATATTTTGCCTATAACTGATACAAATAGATAAAAATTACACAAAATTTATATAAAATAACTATTTTATCTTTTATTTTTTGTTTTTTTGTATGACTTGGTTGTACAATTCAGTTGTAAGTATAACATTGCTTTTTAACATTAGTAATATAATATTTATTATTTCATTAAGGGTATAATTGGCAAGTTATTGAATTTCAAGGTTGAATTTGTACTTTAAATTCTAGCCTCAAACATTGCGGATTCTTGTGATAATTTTTAAAATTATAGGGATCTTAAAATGATCTGATGTAAGTGAAATTATCCTTTATTCTAATATTATATGTCTGCGTTCTTTAGCCGTCAACGCGGCCCCGGAACAGAAATCATACACGTGTAAATTTTTGATTGGGTAGCAAGTCAATGATGGCTCTAAACAGTTTTGACTTTTGAGTAGCCAAATCATTGACTTCAAAATACTATTCCATTTATATATTTTTCTTAAAAAATTATATATATTTTTATTAATGTATTAATACAATTTTTTAATATAATAAACCTTGAAAATAAATATTGTGATAATACAATTTACTGTTTTTTAACTATAATTTTAACCGCCCCAGTTGTGTACGTGATCGAATACAGACTCTTTAATTTATTATTCAATAAATTCTAAATTTGATTCTTCTCAATTACTAATAAAAATAATAATTAAATAAAATTATCTAATCATTAACTTTATTGAATCGTGTATTGTGATAAGATCGAGTTTGTCGTATATATTTGCACGTGAGATTTGTTGGCAGACAACAACTGAAAAGGAAACAACATATACATTAACAAAAAAGCGAAAAAACAAAAAAATTGGGTGCATGATTTTAGGAACAAATGATTCGATGAAGAAATTTTATAAAATAAGTGAGAATGTCTCTGGCCGTTTAATTGGCCATATTCAATTGGATCTGTCTTCACTCTTTTTACATAATAAAACAAATGCTCTTCAACTTTATACTTAATATTTATATATCTTAAAAAGCATATGTTAAAAAAAAAAAATATTATTAATTTAATAAAACTAATCTTTACTTATGAAACTGTTTTTTGTTCATTTACTACTTTAATTGTTTCTGTTTTAATTTTCTAAAAATGAACCTTCTGTAAATATTGGTTAATGGTTGCAGCATGTTGGCAAATTGCACTTACTGTTTTTCTGTCAATTTTTTTTTTACATTTATATAAATAATGGATATAGCTATTATTATTTGTAGGCCTGGATCCACTTATATATTTTTAAATGGTAATAAATTTATTAATTTTCTTTAAATGGCAGGATATTGTTGATTCCTTTCCATATTTATAAAGTAATCTTGATTTGGCTACATATCCAAAATTAGCTAAACTAGGTTAAGAAATTAATATCACAAACATAATGCTGTATTAATTCTTTAAAAATATTCTCAACAAGAGTTAGTTTAATTTCCTTTAAAGCTCTAAAAATAACAAGTTACCCCCTTTAGGTATTTTAAATAACAAATTACTACATTTTGTCAGTGTTCCATTAAATATAAGAGTAAAAAATTTGGAAGTAATTAATTATTTTTTTAGCTGCAAAATATTATCCAAAGAAAGTGAAAAAAAAAAATAAAAAAAATAAGGAGAGAGAGAAAGGGCGGAATCAGAACCGCTCAAAGTGAATAGACCCACTGGAGCCACATGTGATGTGAGGCATTCATAAACTGTCTTCGACTCCTGTTCGAAGACGAGTTTCATTATCATCAGTATCAACTTTTTTGTTTATCGACGAAGAAGAAGAAGAAGAACGATGGAAGAAAGGGAATAAGAGCGTCTATAAATACACTCACTAAGGACCACATCCATTATTTATCTCTCTCTCTCTCTCTGTCTGTCTTTATATTAATGAAGACACCTCTCACTTCTTCTTCTTCTTCTCTGTCTCTCTCTTCTTTATCTCCCTCTCAATCAAACAAACACTTTCTTTCTTCTTCTTATTCTTTCTTTCATGGCTTGTTTGAGAGATGAGCCCCGGGGTTCACTCTCCAATATGCTCTCTAGACGTCTCTCTATCACTGAAGAGGAACAAAAACAAGAAGATGCAGAGCAACCCAAGCAACCCAATACTCTCTTTGTTCAATTCCCTTTCGAGAAGGTCTTTCCCGTTTACGCAATGGGGTTTCTCAGCTCCGACTTTGACCCGCTTTTGTCCTTCCCCTATTCCCGTGCTGACCCGATTTGGGACGCTGTTCGACAAGAAGCCAAGTTGGAGGTCCCACTTTGTTGTTATCTCTTTATTATTTTACTGCTTTTGTCTTTTGTTACTTAGAGTTTACAAGTTTAATGATGATTTCTCTATTTGATTTCTTAGTAATTGTCTAGCATGCATGAAAGTTACAACAGTTTTTTCAATCATTGGTATGTTAAATCAAATGTGGAATTTTGTTTGTTTCTTTCTTGCTGTTGTGGAGGATAAACAAAGAGAATAATTTAAACATTGCTATTTGTTTGCTCCAAAAATTCTCTTTTCAAGTGATGAATTATGGGCATTTTAATATGTTGTTAATGGGAGTTTGGAATGTTTTTGGATTTAATAGGTGCTAATAAACTGCCACAATGCATATTGCAGGCAGAGAAGGAGCCGATTTTAAGTAGCTTCTTGTATGCTAGTATTTTGTCACATACTTGTTTAGAGCAAGCTTTGGGGTTTGTTCTTGCCAACCGACTCCAAAATCCCACACTCTTGGCGACTCAACTTATGGATATATTTTCTAATGTAATGATGCATGATAAAGATATTCAATGTTCCATTCGGTTAGATGTGCAGGTACTAACTCTAATTTATAGAATCCACTGCTTGACATCGTATTGTATGGGTTTTAATGTTACCACTCATCCTCTTCCACAGGCATTTAAAGACAGAGATCCTGCTTGTTTGTCATATAACTCAGCTCTTTTGTATCTCAAGGTAATGTGTTTGCATTTGTGAAGGGAATGTGTTTTGGGCTCAACTTTTCGAAACTACTTTTGTGGCATTATATATGAGTGATGTTGTGCCTTTTTTTTCAATTCATTTGATTGGGTATGATCATGTCATACTTCGTTAAAACAATTATGCCTCACATTCAATGAAAAAGAAAAAGAGATTTATTTGTCTTCGCCAATTTTTTTCCTTTTCTTACAATATGCAGTGAAAACAATATTCAGAAATGCACCCATAAGGTCATCAGTTCTTTCATTTTTGCAGGGTTACCATGCTCTACAATCATATCGAGTAGCACATTCATTGTGGAAGCAAGGACGTAAAGTGTTAGCATTTGCATTGCAAAGCCGTATCAGTGAGGTAATCTTTTACTTGGACGTCCCTTGTTCTGGTTTTTGCCTTCTAATTTTCTCCTTGTAATATCGATTCCTTGTATCTCAGGTATTTGGAATTGACATACATCCAGGTATGTTCATTTTCTTTTTGTGTTTTATACTTTTCACAGCTTATAAACATCTCATTGTTGAGGTTAGCAAAAGAACAAAAGTGGCATTTTGCACATGTAAAGGGGGATTTACCATTTTGAAAAATGTCATATAGAGCAGCTAAAAGAAATACAACTGTAGTTGCTATGTCTTTTAAATAAATAATTTTGATTTTTTACAGCTGCAAGTATTGGAGATGGGATATTATTGGATCACGGCACTGGTGTTGTTATTGGTGAAACCTCTGTTATAGGAAACCGAGTTTCTTTGATGCATGTAAGCCACTTTATTTTATCTGTCTTTTCCCATTATATTTCTGTATTGCAATATTGCCTGGTTTCGACAGTACTTAACTATATTTTTTCTTTTTAATCATTTTATTGCGAGTTCTTGTATAAATGAAGATATAATGGCTATAAGAAACCGGTTAACTTTTACTTCCAGAATGATTTGGATTAGTGACTTCTTTGTGCATTTAGATAGTGGAGTTTATTACAAACCATACAATCAAACTGAAAATTATTCCTTTCATAAAGTTATAAATTTACTTGTTTGGTATTACACATAAGTGGCTGGTGGCAAGATACCATTTTGTACTAGGGAATAAATATATCTTTACATAATACAGAGGGTGAAGAATGATTAGTTTTTCCCGAGTTCTTATGATTAAAGGCTTTGTTAACTTTATTTAGTGTTCTTGTTATGGAATTTCCTGGAAAAGTAGTTTCACTTTTTAGTTCTATAATTTCTTATTGATGTTCCTCTTTTCTTATACGTTGCAGTCTTTTTCTTCAATTGTGAACTGTCTTTTACTTCTGTTTAGCATGAAGCTTCCTGAATTATCGCAATTGCATTATTATCATTACAAATGTTCTGCAGGGTGTGACTCTAGGTGGGACTGGGAAAGAAATCGGTGATCGCCATCCAAAAGTAGGTGAAGGTGCACTGATTGGAGCCTGTGTGAATATACTTGGGAATATAAAAGTAGGTGAAGGGGCAATGATAGCTGCTGGCTCCCTTGTTTTGAAGGAAGTTCCTCCGCATAGGTGCAAAAATTTATTTTTTAAATTGCTGTAATTAGGATATTAGTTATCATAATAATATAATGTTCATAAATCTTTCTTTGTCGTTCTTAAGCATGGTGGCAGGAACACCAGCAAAGGTGTTAGGATACATAGTAGATGAGCAAGACCCATCTCTGACAATGAATCATGGTAAGTCATGTCAATGAGCACTAATGTTATAGAAATTATTCTCTCCCTGCAAAATTTTATATATGTCAAAGATATGCTACTATACTGATCTCATGGCAACTGCTGTAATTGCTTGCTGGTCTTCTGGAAGAGCTCTGATTAAACATTCTGGGTAACGAACGGTTACATTGATCTGAATTGATGGTCACCTGGTGCAAAAACTGTGTTTGATTAATGGTGGTTCTTTATTCATCTGCAGAGCCATATTTGGAACTCACAGTTATATTGATGTTATATGTGTGAAATCTATTAGAAAAATAAGTCGAATGTTGCTGAAGATATCTGTTATTGAACTGCATGGATAGTGTTCTTGAAAATATGTTATGTTCTCTGAAAATTTCATATTGTAATTATCTTCAGCTTTCTACTATTGATCTTATGTTGGCAATTTCTGGCTTCATTGTCATTTTGATCCCTGTCTCATTTATCTAACTGTGATTCTTGATACGATGAATTTGCAGATGCCACCAAAATATTTTTCAAACGTGTGGCTGTCGCTTTTAGAAAGGCAAGGTCCACCGGTAAGTGTCGATTGATACTCTGAGTTTATAGTATAGAGTAATGAAGGAAATTTTCATATTGCTAATCATGATTAAACCTGTTTGCAACATTTTTAGGGCCTTCGGATACCGAAAATAAGGAAGGCAAGTGAGCGATGTGCAACAGTGCAAAGGCGAAGGCATAGATCTCCGTTGCTGATGCAGTTAGCTTTATTAGTCAGTAGATGTATGACATGCAGCAGCATGATACATGATAGGACCATTGAAGAAATAATGTTACTGTAGTTTATACAGATCATCTGATATCTATAGTTCCTTTCGTCGATGTTTCGAGACATTTTTTGGCAATGTTCAACAAATTTTGACTCAAGTATTTGTTGCCCAATGTTCAATACTCGCTTGTAAATAGATTAAATTTACTGTTGTGGTTTTAGTTAGAAATAACATTTATTAAACATCTTTATATGCTGCCAGAAAACCAAGCTATCTTACAAAGCTTTCTAAGTGCCCCCACTTGCATAGAACATTTGGTCAATTTCTGGTGTCGATGTTGATAATATATATTTTTTTTCAAGTTTCATAATTTATTATATTCGTATTTTTCTTAATTTTTACGATTTTTCAGTTTTTTTCCTTTTTCTGGGAAATTATATTTTTATATAATTTAATAAAAGATATACAATTTTAATTAAATATGTTTGTTGTTTTATAAATATTTAATTGATAGATATTATTATAATTAAAAAAAGTAATATATAAAATTTTAAATTTTTTCAAACACACATACTTTAAAAGTGAAACTTCCATTCTAATTATAAAAATAGAAATTGAAGATTCGGGTTTAAATGATTAATTTTCAAAGTTGGTGAAGGTAATATTATGTGTTTGTAATTTAGGGGTGTAAATAAAATTAACCCTATAATATATATTGTATGAATTGACAATAATGCCCTTTCACTGTTAAAACTATCGTCTGAATCTAACGATGGGTGGGAAAATGCAATTACGGAAAACTATGGGTGGGAAAATATCATTCACTTTTTTATTCTATGGGAAAAAAAATGAAAATCAAAGTGTATGTATGATACTTAATTGTTTTGTGAAATACAATTTTTGTCTCTAATTCATAATTGTTATTAGATAATTTTCCTTGATTTAATTGAATAAATCAAAATTATGTTTAGTTAAAACTAAGTAAGAAGCCAAGCTATTATAAATTAAATAAGGGCATCCAATTAAATAATTAAAGTATTTTTTCTCGTAATAAATCAATGAGATAAAGAAAAAAAATTAATTACTTTAAAAATAAATAAAAATATTTAGAAAAAAAAATAATGTTATTACTCTTAATAAACACTTGTGTTGGACTTAAAACTTAAAAAGAAAATTGAAGTCCACAAGAAGTTGGCCCAAATAAGCAGAACAGAACAGAAGCAACGTGGACTCCACAGGAACGACAGCGTTTCTCTGTTCTGGCTCTTGCGTTTCTTGCATGGGTAGCTTGAGATCCTATCATTTCCGGTGATCTCACCTTCTCTTTAACTCAAAATTTGACAATTCAGATCTTCTAATTGAGAAACGATTTCCTTGCTCTTTGTTCATAGAGACAGTATTAAGGTACGCGCATTTTGTGTAATTTAGTATTTAATTTTAAAATAATTTGGATTACTTGGATCTGATGTTATTCTAAGGTTTGAAGGAGATCCATTCGAATTTATTTATTTGAATTTTTTTTGTTAATTATCAATTCGTGTTTAATTCTATAATTAGAACTGTGAGAATTGCAAAATCTGGCTTGAATATGTGTACACTTGCAACAAATTTGATTTCGTTTGTTTAATTGATTAGTGTGTTATTAGTATTGTAGTAGTTACTAGTGATTAGAGTTTTTATTATTTATTTTTTTCATGAATTTCAATAATGTTGATACTTTGGAAATGGCTAATTGTAGTTCAGTAGTAGGTTGATGTGATAATGTCAGAAGAGGGACAGAATGTTAGTGTAATATCTGAAAGTGGCATGGAAGATTCTCTAAAGACTGAGAAACAGTTGTCTGATGCCAATGGTGGAAGCAATGGGAGTCTTGTGAAGGAAAATGGGACGCATGATGACAGAAACGATTATTTGAATGTTGATCATGATCAGCTTTTGGAAATAGTCTTGGAACTGAAATTTCAGAATGAAATCTTGAAATCTCAGTTTGAGGGGTTGAAAACTCTTAGATCAGAGGATGATGGGTTGTGCCAGCAAAGAGAAGGAAGTGTGCAGGAAAGTAGGGAATCTGTAGATGTAAAAGAGCTGCATGAAAGAATTAACTCTTTGAGTAAAGAACTCCATGAAGAGAAAGAAACTCGTGGTGCTGCAGAGAAGGCTTTGGAGCATCTGCGAGTAGCATATTCAGAGGCAGATGCAAAAGCGCAAGAATTCTCTACCAAGCTTGCTGAAGGTCAGATACTATATGTTTATGCCTATGAATTGGTGTTTGTCAATTAGTGATGAAGCAGATGTGTATATAACATTTGGCTTCACATTCCAATTTCGGCTTTCTTGATATATAGAGATTATGGTGGCATACTTGTTTGCTTTTACCACTAATTTTATGTTTACCACTTTATAATGTTCTAACAATAAGCTATATAGTTCTTGAAGTGTTGTTTGTTTCTCTTTTAACCTGAATATATATAATTTGTTTCAATTCGTAGCTCAACAGAAGTTGGATCATGAAATTAAAGAGCGTGAGGAGAAGTACACTGAACTTGATTCCAAATTTAGCAGGCTCCATAAACGAGCAAAACAACGTATTCAAGAGGTTCAAAAGGTGAATTCTGTAGCTGGATCCTTTTCCCTTTGGTTTGTTGCTTTATGAGACTGCTGCATCTGCTATATGCTATATCCTGCTCTGCTTGAGATCAAATTGATGTGTTGCTCACATTTTTAGCAATCATGAAATTTTCTCAGTCATCTGGTTTTCAATTCCTTATTTGAGATATCTGCATGTTTATGAAGGGTTGTGGTTTATTTTATATTAGGCTGAGATCAGCTCAGAGGGAAGTTTATAATAATTGTGCTTGCTCTTGAGCGGCCAATAAACACTGTATCTTCTTTATCCTTTCTTTCCTTTGTGAGTCTGTGCATTTAGCTATTCAGTTTCCCTGTTGAAGTGGTATCATTTTTGGTGCATAACCAGTTTGCTTGTCTTCTAAGTTTATGAATGCAATCATTGTTTGTTGACTTTGCCCTTCTATAATTATCAAGGAGTTCAGTGTCTAATTTTTGGCATATCACATATGTAGGTTTAAAAAAAGAAAAATTAAGTCTATTTGCTCTGGTGAAGAACAGTTCATATGTTGTTTCTTTTAGGGAGAAGGGGGTTTTTGTTGTGGCTCCAATTTTCTTAATGGTCTCTTTATAATTATTTGCTTATAATCTTTGTCATGCTTATTACATGTAATTATGCCTAAATTTATAAGCTAAGGCTATTTACTCTTCTCTTTGTCAAGTGAAAATGATGAACTAATAATTAAAAGAAAAGAGGATATATGATGCTTGGATGTTCTCATTTGGAGTTTTAATTTCTTTTATTTATTTACTTTTTACTTATGTTGTTACAATTGTGTGTTGAATAAAATTAATAGAATGAATACCTTTCCTGTAGAAACTAAGTTAAATTGGTCTTTGGAGATCTTCATTTCAGGAAAAGGATGATCTTGAGGCCCGACTTCGTGATGTGACAGAAACAGCTGACCGAACATCATCCCAACACTCAGCATTGCAGCAAGAGTTGGAGCGCACTAGGCAACAAGCAAATGATGCATTGAAAGCAATGGATGCGGAGAGGCAACAATTGAGGAGTACAAATAATAAGTAATTCTCTAATCAATTGCTTATTAAGATCAATGTTTTACATGATTTGAGAAACTTTATGCCTGAGTGTGAATCTTTGCATACGTATATGTGATATGCAAGAAGCCATATGTATAATTTCTGGTAAAAGGAAATTTGTGTGAATGATTTTATTTATGCTTATTTTGCGTCAAGCGTAAGTTTTTGAAATCCCTATTAACTTTTTTACAATTTCTGCCTTGTGAAGAATCTGTGTGTTTCTGTGTTTATCCAATTTCATAAGTAGGTGGAGTTAAAACTTTCATGACTCGAGTATATGGTCTAGTCTATCTCTGTAGGATCAGAAATTCTTCTGATATATTGTTCCTTTTTCTTGACTTGTACAAAGTATTTATTTTTCAAGCTCTCTGGATAGGTGTAATGGTGTGAATAATCTTTAGTTGTTTAATAATTAGAAAATTTATTCATTTTTCCAACATGAACATGTTTCACTTAGCATGCTACCATGGTTTGGTGAAACAATATCAAAATTTTGTTTTTGAACTGGGATTTCCTTGCGGAATACTTTTTATTTTTGACTTTGTTTCCTTTGTATTTCTAATTTTCCATTGACATCCAGACTCCGAGACAACATTGAGGAGTTGCGCCGTTCATTGCAACCTAAAGAAAATGCTCTTGAGGCATTGCAACAGTCACTTCTGGAGAAAGAGCAGGTAATTATGGTCGCCTCTATTTTTGAAGAGACTAGGTTTACTTTCTTGTTGTAAATGTTACAATTTCTGAAGTAGAGTTGACACTTCAATTTTCTGTTATGATGTCCCCTACATTTTTTTGTGTGTTTATGCATACAAATGAACCTATCAATTTTCTTCACTGTTTGTGCCTAGTCAGATGTATTCCTTGTTTCCTATTCCTTTAGAAGAAAGAAAAAATTTAAGGATTTATTCTGTGTAACAAAATTTTGCCCCATTAATTTTATTTTGCAACTGCAACTGCTTCATATCACCCTGCTATTGCAGACTTTCTTAGTTTATTTTATATATTTGATCACCAAAGGCGCAATTCCCTTTGGATTCGGTTTCAAGCTGCTAGGTGTTATTTGAATCATAGTCAACTATCCAGGGTTGATTTTCCACGTGCATTTAAAAGCTACAATCCATGGACAGTGCCTATCTTGTCCAACTTCAGGAGCTGATTTTTTTAATGCATTATTTTGTTCCTCTGCTTAATTTCTCTGATATTTTTATGTCTGCACAGTTTAAATCAAGAATTTAAGTATGATAGCTTGTTCATTTTTTAGATGTTGGAAGACATGAGAGCCTCGATACAAGCTGCAGAAGAGAAAAGGCAAGCTTCAATAGCTGAGCTCTCTGCTAAACATCAAAAGGTAAATTCACATTTTAATGCATCAAATGTTTCCTTTCTTAGATGTTAATTTTATTCATGTTTCTCTCCTTCCTGTTACTTATCTAATGATGCTTGTTTCTTGTTTTCATCATAGAATTTAGAAAGTTTGGAAGCCCAACTTGCTGATGCTTTATC